GTGGTGTTTATTAAGGTTGAACACGATTTTCCTTCATCTTCCTTCAAGTGTTACATGCTTTCTTGCATTTCCTTCTTCTTCTACACCTTTCTCTTAGAAAATTCGTGTGCATATTCATGCACTTCAGTTTTGATGATGATGGTGGTAGGATTTCACCCAAAAGCAACATGCATGTTGCGAATGGTGAAGTCCCATGACCCAAATCTATGTCAAACTCAAAATAACCCATTTTGGTACTAGTTTTCATAGAGAATTCACAATATGAACCAAAGTTTTCTTTCAAAAACGATTTTTTAACATTTCAAACTCATGTATGGCCTTCAAATCAACATGCATGTGATGATCTTCAAGCTTAGATGCTAGATGATCAAAGCAGGTTGTTAAAAAGCTTTCACATATGTTCATAAAAGATTTATTCACAAACAAATACCAAAAACTCATTTTCTGCCCAAAACCAATTTTTCCCAGAATCCCAACAACAAAGTGAGAAGTTCTGGAAATTTTCAGAAAATAAATTAGTTTTCTCGAATTATTATAGTTATTGCAAGAAAATATATCAATAATTCACATAAAATACTTTTGCGATCAATAAATTCTGGAAAATTTCTGATATTACCCATAGACGGATTAAATACATTCCATGAAGTTTCATGCATTTATATGACAAATTTCGGTTGATTTCGAATTTATTTTTGTCGAAGAAAAATAAATAGTAAAGTTAAGTTCTAAATGTCCAAATCCGTATTTAACAATTTTCGCATCTTTTGGACATCATAACGACTTTATGAATAAAAAGTTAAATGAATTTCTCGTACTGTTTACTAATTTTTCATGAATTAATGCTCATTTAAGAGAATAAATCAGGGGAAAATATTTAAACTGTTCTAAAAATTATAATAAATTTCCATAACATTTTTTATTATAGTTTAGCTACAAATAAAAAGTTTGGACAATTTTCTAAGTAGTTTAGTATTTATTTTCATTTTTAATAAAATAAATACACATAAATCCAAAACTCGGACTCCAATATATGAAAATCATATTTGGTAATTTTCCCAGATTATGTACACTGTAAATGAATTTTGGAAAGTTTGGTAATTTTTATTTACTTTTTATTAATTATTCACGAATTAATGCTTATTTAAGTAAATAAAACAAAGAAAATATCTACACTGTTTGGAAACCAACTTTTATATTTTTCCTAGCCTTTATATATCTAATAACACCAATACAAAAAGTTTGGGAACTTGTAGAAACTGTTTTCTAATTATCTCTATTTTTATTAGAATGAACCCACAAAAATCATAAAATTGAGTTAAACTGTTTGAAAATCAATTTGAGTATTTTTCCCAGTTTATATACATTGTATAACATTTTTACAAAAATATTGGGAATTTTAATTAACTGTTTATTATTTTTCACGATTTTATGATATTTTCAAGGAATTAAATGGTGGAAAAACAGTCAAACATATTTAAAAATCATGAAAAATTACAAGAGGGTTCTAAATTATAGTTAGAACTCAAATGTTAAGTTTGGAAATTTTCAGAACTGATTTGATTTAGTTTTGGATTTTTAGCTTGTAAAGCCCTTCCAAAAGTGCTAAATTGCATTACAAACAATAACACGAAATTTATTTGTCACTTGCATCTGTTAATAAGTCAATTGGTATATGGAAATCTGAATTTTCAGAAAAGTATTTGCCACTTATACAAAACCTAACTTTGACACAGTATTGGCATAATTCTATTGTTGTAGTAAGTATACTAGTATTAGATTTCGATTAGAGACTCATTAGTGTGTAACATCATGTAGGAATCAGTAGTGGTACAAATGGAACTTAGTTCAAGGAATCATTTGCATCATCTCAAAGCATTGTGAGTATTCATGCCTCCCCATATTTTTGATTTTTACGTTTTGGGGTGGAAAAGCATGTCCTAAACTATTTATGTTCGTTGTATTTATTTTGACTCGTATAAAATTGGTTGCTATATTTTTCATGTATATGTATGTTACTTTAATTCATGAGGACTGTATTGCGGTTAGTCCCTAGAATCATTTGACACAACTTACTAACTCTTTTGTGCCCATGGTCATTATGGATAGCGCTATTAGGAGGTAGATAAATCCTCACTCGCACGATTCGCTTGAGCGCATTTTACCATTTTGTACACTATGTTTGCGTTACACATTGTAGTTAATAGGGAACGATTCAGTCATTAGGCTTGGGTTGTGAACTCATGAATGGAAACTTGACGCACATATGAATCTTGTATACTTATTTTAGCAACGAAACTTTTATACCTATTTTAGCAACGGGACTTGTATACTCATTTTAGCGATGAAACTTGTATACTCATTTTATCAACGAAACTTGTATACTCATTTTAGCAACGAAACTTGTTTACTCGTTTTAGCAACGAACTTTATTTCCCATGAGAATATGAACTTTGCATCTCATTTTGGCAACATACTTTATTTCTCATGATGACAAAGAACTTTGTTTATGCACACTTATTCACTCATTTTAGCAATGTACTTTTCTTTATGGAAACTTCTATCAACACTTTGATTACGATTCATGAAACCAATATTATTTTTAACTTGTGAACTCACCAAATATTTCGGTAGTTGACCGCTCATTTTACATGTTTTTTCAAGAATCATCTAGTAAGAGGCACCTGGAGACACATCACTTGTAGGAGCATTTGCATGTGTTTTATTTCAAATACATTGTAATTTATTTTGAAAATTTGTTCATACTCATTGTAAATTGTAATGATTTTTAATACTATGGTTGGTGTTGTCTTTTAACTTTTGCTATGAGACCCTTTGTACTGCCACGCCCCGTGTTTCCGCTTTAGCGGGGTGTGACAGGAGAGCTACCTCCTTATCTGAATCTGAAAACTTTGAAACCATGTCTGAGTTTCGGACAGACAGTGCCACCTGAACCTCGACCATGCCGACCAAAACTCGCAATTCCGATCTGACCAAGACCTCCCGACCTAGTCGTCTTACCGAAAACTGGAGAAAGACTCCCACGACCAACAGTGCCACTGGCAACCTCACACATCGACGAAAACAAGACTCTAAACAGAACCTAACAGACAATGTCTAAACTAGCCTATACAACAAAACGACTCTAAAAACCCCTTTACCCATAGACATAGGAAATAATAAACAATTAACAGAACAAACAAGAAAAAACAAGTCTATTTCAACCCAAATGAATGCTATGATCCTCCTAAAGTCTTACAATCACTCTTGTAATGGCATATTGCAGCCAACGGGCTCCGCCCAATGGTCTATTTCAACCACATAATTGTCGTGGCCCTCCCACAGTCTTACAATCACTTCCATCCTATTTCAGCCAACTGAATGCTATGGACCAAATAGTAGTCTGACAACACTCTTGCGACTGCCATGGGCTCCACCATGGTCTTTCACAAAAAACTACAAAAATAGAAAGCACGAATGACACGGGACGGACCCCTAGTCTATTCAACCTCATCAAGTGTTTGGGGTGTTCTTCGAAACCCAAAGCCTTAATCAGACAAAAATATGCAGAGTGGTCCTCACATAACCCTCAACCTGAGCCTAATCACTAACTCTACCTTTCACAACCGAAGTTCCAAGTCTTCCAAACGAAACAACCTTGAATCTTTAACATCCACTTCGTTGGTCATAGATAAATAATGAACAACACTTCTTGCATAAGCCTCATTCCTGACAACCATCTGAACCTGCTACTCACTAACCCTTAGTGCGAGCTTCAAGATAACAAGTCTCCTAAATTCTTCCGACCGAGCAAGCGATTCTCCCTAACTTTGAATTAGCTAGATTCTGATTCTTTCCTATCCATTCAAAATTCCGTGTCACACCAATGACTTTACTACTTGGTCCATGCCACCATACCAACATAAAAGCAAGGAGATTCCGACTCAATCAACAAAACCCAAGAGTTCCAAAACATATTTGCAATCCCACAATCAGACAATCAATCCAAGCACAATAACTAATCGAAACAGAACCAAAGTTGATCAAGAAAATATCATTCAATGGATTATCCAAGATTTATATACGAAACAACGAAATCAAAGACAACAAGATACCAACTACAATAACCGATGTTGCATCTGAATAAACTGACGAAAGCTGATAATTCAAACTCCGGTCCTTGGGAATCCAACTGTCCCATGTCGTCCATCCGGTAACTGCCTAGCTAAAGGGACTGGATCTAAAACCACCTCATCCACTCTGAGAGGACAATCAACCTTAACATAGCCTGGCTGGCTATAGAAGAAGCATACTCTCGATTCCTTCTGGCTACAATCATGACTGTAGTGACCCTCCTGATTACATCTGAAACATCTAGAGAATAGCATATGACATCTACCCCAATGAGTCCGACCACACTTACTGCAAGATCCATGAATCTCTTGATCTCCTGACTAGAAGTCAGTCACTATAGTCTTCTTGGCCGATGCTGCATATAAATGTACCTGATCTTGCTTCCTCTTCTGTTGCTAGGTCTCCAACTCCAACTCTCTTTCCCTGGCTGCATCTACTAAACCAGAAAGTGTCCTATGACTCAAGATACTCACGTGCTCCCGAACCTCCGTCCTCAACATATCATGGTAGCGAGTCATCCTTATCTCCTCAGTAGCTGCATACTAAGGGCAAAACAGTTCTCTCTCTAAACTTGGCGGTGAGCTCCGCCACTGACTCTGTAGTCTGCTCAAGTGCCAGAAAATCCAGTGCCGACTGCTAAACCTTAATTGTCAGCACAAACTCTCTCTTGAATCTGGTGACAAAATCCTCCAAGACATGGAATCGACCGCAGCTGGTTCGAGGCCCTGAACCACCTCACACCACCAATCCCTAGCTCTGTCACGCAGAATACATGTCACAAATCTAACCTTGTCCTCCGCCAGACAAAAGCTGGAGTGAAAGGCACTCTCCACATCGGTGATCCTAAAGGCGACTCTACGACCCCATGGCTAAACACCCTCTAACTCAGCCCATATAACCCTAAGGCGCTCGTCTATCACTACGATCAATTTCTCCCTAACAGTGTTGATCAATCCGGGAAAATCCTCTCTCATGAACCTCGGAATCTCTATAGCTGTGACGTCATAAACATCGTCTTCACTGAAATCTGAATCGCCAACACGGAAGGTCACATCCTGAATCTGAAAGATAACGGAAACACATCAAATAATGCACAGTGTGAACCCACACTATGCATACCCACCTACAGCTTCCTGGTATTCTTGAGACACTTCCTTGAACCGAGTATGGATCTTCTGCTTTCAGTAGTACATAGCCAATACTACCTTCCATACCTATCGATGCCCGTACCAAGGACTACTCTAAGACTCCCAAGTCGCTTCGCAACACTCCAGTATACTCCTCACACGCATGCATATGGCTAAGCATATGCATACTACTATACTTCCTACATTCTCTCTCTAGGATTCACCCTTCCCACAAACCTGCAAACTGAACAAGCCTCTACATACACTCCAGAAATAGCTCATGAACGAACAATCGTACATAACCCAAAATGAAATAAACATTTGAATAAATTTCTCTACCCTAAAACCACAACCAGAAAAGGAACATGTAGTAAGCCAAAACATAAATTCTAAGGCTATTAGACTCTAGTTATGTACAACCCCTATTGCATTCACAGAAAACTCAACAATAACATGTACAGGTTCCAGAGAACATACTAATCATACGAGGCATCACATAAAATTCTAGAAATTCTAGCATGCATAACAACTTATAGAAAAAATACATAATCATATGGGTATACTGGGAATCACTTACTTTCTGAGCTCCAGCTGTCTGTATGCATCGCATCGTCTAATCATTATAAAACCTTTTTAGAAAATCATTTTACATTGAATAAAATCATTTTTTTTCAAAAACTTTGTTTAGAAAATGTTTCAGTCCTCAGTTGAGTTCAGACACACTGTAAGGCGCGCCCGAATCCCTCAAACCAAGGCTCTGATACCAATTTCTAACATCCCAAAAATTACAAAAAAAAAAACTTTCTTCATAAAATAGATTAACCAATTAAAACTTTATTTCAAAAACCATTGGATAACATTGCTTTTTTGAAAACCATACATTATCATAGTTAAGTTTACAAAACCGCGGAAACAAATATCTTTGATGCGTGTGCATAGTGCCATCGGGCTCTTCTCACGAACGACATGCAAAATGTTTATTCCACAACTATAAACATAAAACTTAATGAGTTCCATAGTATACCACATATTCCATCATACATATAATGTATCCACACAAAGACTCGGCTCTAACACCGAGCTGCTAAATCTCTTATTCGTAAACATACAACATACAACATGCAAGCAATCATACATATCAAATATTGGCACTCTGCCACTGGCTCCCAGCCACCACTACCACCGGTTCTCAACCGTCTTGCTACCATCGGCCTCGCAATGGAGCTACATCATCAACCTTATGCCAGAACCATACCATCGGCCTCGTGTCGGAACCATATTAGTACCTGGCCTATGCTAATACTGACAACCACCTCATGAACATGTAGTTATACGTAGTTGGCGGTCGGATAGACAATCAAAAAAATGATCCTACTCTAGAGCCACAACCAAACTAATAAGAGGCATGTAATCCTAGATCAAGAGCTCTCATACTATCCAGCTTAAGCTACATACAACCCCTAGGGTATCCGTTCAACGACCGACCAATACTAACAGCACCGCATAAATCATGCAAAAAAACACATAACATATACCAACATATTACTTATCCTTGGTAATTAGCCTTCCCTAATTAACATGCCTTTGAATACTTCTCAATTAAGTCCTTTTCTTGTTGATCATACATAATCTTGATAAATCTCCTTCCCCAATTATGCTAACCAACATACTCCTAATAGTATCATACAATAAACATGCAAGACCCTACCACTCTAGCATACCAAGACACCAACTTTTCTAATCTGCAAAGCATAACAGGGACTTAGCCTAGTCAACTAGTAAACATGACTCTAACAGAACCTCTATTCTACCATGCAAAGGATATACAATAGGATACGTGACATAGTGAGAAACACACCTGAATTGCAAAACCGGAGAAGAACAACAACACTCTAACTCCATGCATTGATCAGTCCCTCAAACAGACTAACACCAAGACAAATAATCCTTAGACAATAATATAAATCCTCAAACTTTGACCCTAAGTCAGACTGGTCAAAAGTCTATGATCAAAGGTCCAAAAAGTCAACGGTCAACCTAGTCAAAGCCAACGCCACGTCATGACCATTCATTGGTGTGACAACCGTCAAGTTAAAGTCAAAGTCAACAAGTCAAAGTCAAAGTCAAAGTCAACAAAGTCAAACTGGTCAAACTTAACTAGTACTTGTATGTTAAAACTTATTCTATGTATAAAAATGTGAATTTGTATGTTAAGAATTCAAGTGTCTCGGAGAATCTATGTGTTTATCAATGTGAAAAACCTAACAAGAGAGTTAAACGCATCAAAACACGACTATGGACCCTTTTGGGGACTTAAAACAATCATAAACGAAGCATAACGGGGTTCACGAACCTTGCATTAGGAGATTATACGATAATAACGGCTAAAATAAAATCTCTCCCAAATCTCTCTCAACTTTTTATAGTCAACCGGGTCATCCTGACCCTTAACTTGGCCAAAAATCACTCATAACGGGAAGTTTACTTGAAAAACAGCTAATTAGGGCCGAAACCCTTCTTAGGATCGAACCCTCTTAGAGGGAACCTCTTAGAGCCGAACCCTACATAGAACCGAAGGTCCCTTGTGAGGACCGAACTTAGCCTTTCAGGACCGAACCAAGCCTCTCGGACCGAACCTCCCTGAGGACCGAAGTCAGCAGAACCGAACCTCATCAGCAACCGAAATGAACCGAGCCTTCGGTCCATTTCGCTTCCTTCCCACCTTCGGGCCCGAGCCTCCCCTTTCGGTTCCTCCTCCCACTTTCGGTTCCTTCTTCTCCATTCTCTCGGTTCTCATCTCCTAAGGACTGAACCTCGCAGGTTCGCTCCAAATTCCCGGTTTTCGACAACTTTCGCTTCTTAAGCCCGCTTTTGACGGGGATTTTTCACCAAATTCATATTTTTATCATTTTAAACTCCCTAAACTTATATTTTATTCATTTCTCAGGGATTTATTAATTATAAATCATTATTTTACATGAAGGAGAGCATTCTACACCACAAGTGGGTCAAGTGTGCCCACTTGTCTCCATGTGTCATCTTCTCATTGGTCCAACCCTATCCACATCACACAAACCAAGGTAAACATCCTCTCAACTTTGGAAGTTGCTCCAACAACATCTATATAAAGAAATCCCTGGAGGATTTCTTGGTTCACTTTGATCATTCTCAAACACTTATACACTTCTCAAACCGTCAAGAGAGCCTCTTTTTCTCTCTACTTCCAGCCACTTTTTGAAGGTGTTCTTGAGCTATTAATTCACTCTTTGGTAAGTATTTCATATAAACTCAAGTGTTATTCCATGTTTTCATAACATCCTTGAATCATCTACACACATTTTAACACCAAAAATCGTTCTTAGGATCATCCGACACTTCACGTGTTCATCAAGTGTTCTTGACTTGATACTCCTCATCTTCGACCTTCCACTCTTCAAGAAATCACTCAAGGTGAGGTCATACCCCTACATTTTCTAGTTTTCTTTAGTTTTCAGGGGGGGGGGGAATACAAGTTAAAACACCAAAACATATTTAAAACTTAACTTGACAGCTTATAACAGAAAAGTTGTGACCTGTTCACGATCTGTTTTACCCAACTTAAACTTAATATTTTTCAAAACTGTTTAATATGCAAATAGTTCACGTTTATACCTTTAAAATGAATACTTGAACATCTCTATACGATTTTTCTACAATTTAGGGTGATTTTTACAGAACTGCCTACCACTGCAGCAACAAAGTCGGACCAGGTTGTGAAGATGAATATTTTCACACTGGTTTGAGACCACCAAAAATTATAGGAAAATTTATGAACATAGTAGACTCTTTTTCCAAACTCTGAGAGTTACGGATTCGGTTTTGACTTACGATGATGTTTCTATAAATATTCTAAAACATGTTTAAGAATTATTCACACCTTGTAACATGCTGAGCAAGGTGTGTAAGATTTACACTTAGTAGTTTCAATGTCATTGTCGTTGAAATACAAAGTCATGCATATCAAGGTTTCATTAAAACATAATACACAACTGATAAACTATAACAGGTATAGTTTGAACACCTCATTTAACAAAGAAATGGTAATACAATCGATTTACAAAACGGGTATTTCATTACAAACAACGTGAACTTGTTAATGAATAAATTTGTGAGACATTCACCTTCGGGGTACTCTTAAGTACCACAGAAAAGTCTTGTAGTTATAATCAGAATCTCTTGGAGGGAGAGCGTGATAGTTGTGTATAGATCTATATTGGGTCTGACAAACCCGCACCTAAGCTGTTTGCAACAGCTAGACCGGCAGGTCTGGGGTGACAAGTGTCATAACATTCCGACTCCTGAAGAACGTCGAGTACGAGGCCTTCGCGTTTTAGCATGGTTATAACATCTCACATGGGGAATTAACAAAACACACAGTTTACGGGGATTTAAGGAGTTTTATTTAAATATAAAACCACACACATAAGTATGATGATTTACTTACGTATACTAAGTCCTGGTTTAGTTAAGACTACAACAAACCTTTTAGAAAACATTGGATTTTCTGGTAACAAACTTGTAACAAACTTTAAGGAACAACATTCATTCATAAAACTGCTTATGAACTCACTAGCTTTAATGCTGATACTCTTTCAAAAACAACTTGTATTCTCAGGTATTCGGTAATACAACTAACCACAAGATTTTTGAAGGCAAGACGCTAAGGCGCAGATTTCTTTTGAACTATTTTGACATCATATGTAATTTATTTGGAAACATGTATTTTTGCAACGATGTAACCTTTTAAATTATATTTATAATGGTTGTGTTTACTCTCTTCACTATGGTTATGATACTGAGCATGACGTCCTCCGCCCCCGAACGTTTCCGCCATTTCAGTTTGGGGGTGTGACAATTGGCTACGTTGTGGGAATGCAAGACAAAACAATCACGATGTTAGGGCTTTACCACATCGTGACCATTCCTTAGCCACTTCATGATGACTGCTAGAAGCCATATTTTAACATTAAGGACTTAATACATAAAGTCATTTGCTCAAACTTTCCAGATGGCTTACTTTTTTAGAACCTGAAAGTGAACCTCTAGCAATCCTAAGTCAGGTTCCGATGTACTTGTGTTCCGGAGTGAATGTTCCGGAGTCAGTGATGAAGAGTGGTCCGGAATCTGTCCGGACCAAAAGAGAAGAAGATTAGAAGTTGAAGACATTCCGAAATGACTTTCATATCCGAGATGGTTGTTGATCCGGAGTCACCTTATTTTGTCTTTATACATTTATTGTATTT